AATCTCCATGATGTCAACTTTTTATTTTGTCTTTTCATATTTAGCTTTTTTACAATGGGATTTGTAGTTTCTTTTTAGTACAATAACCCGTCCTCCTTTTCATGATCATACGATGCAGGTTGACCTGAGGTCTGGATTTCCATTATAATTATTACTGGGGACTATTGGATTTCTCTTTATTTCTTTTCATGGATGATAGTTTGATTGAAAGGGACAATAGACATTGACTTTGCTTGACAGCTCAGCTTTGACACTCGGGCTCCATTTCCAACCTTCATCAGCACTTTTGTCTCTGTAAGTTTCACAGCGCTGTCACTTCTCAACATTTAAGGAAGGATACTAGAAGAAGATATCAGGATATAACATTTTCAGTGGAATGAAACAAGAGTCAAGACATTAAATCGAATCATTAACTAAAATATAATTATGTTCTAGTGCAAATGCAAAAGTTTAAATGCAAATTTAATCTTTTGGTCCATATACATGTACAATATATACAACTGATACACCTAGTAACATTACATAAATACACAGAGCTCGAACATTTTCTTTCTAAAACTTTTTTATTTCTCAGATGCTTTTATTTAATAACTTTTCATCAATCATACTGACTGCAGCCTGAAATGTTGCATGGCACTCATAAAACGTGTTTGTTTAAATGATACTACAGCTACCCCTACAGGTGACATACAGAAATAACACTTTAAGAATTGCTCTATGAAGTATTTTAACGTTTAACATGTATAAATGTATTATTTATATGATGCATCTGAGGAGCTAGTACGTAGGTCACAGATCTCTGGGAAGCTTCAGGTGATGAGAAGAAGTTTCATGATGTTTTCTAACCAGATGTATCAAGAAGCTTTTTCTGAGTCTTTAAGTTGAACACTAGTGACACCTACTGGTCAATGAAAACATAGAAACAGTGACATGGTGCATTAACATACATAAACACTACAGCACTATCAAATAAATAAATGTGTTCTTTTTAAATACTTATGGTCTTTTTCATTTCTCTAAGAAATACTTCATTTATAGCTTAACCTTCAGTCTTTTCATGTAAAGCAATGGATGATGTTGTTTGGTCTGTATATAATGATATAACATGTCTTGTCTGAAAGGTGACTCTTTGTCTGGATATTGTCAGGAAGTGAAAATGAGTAGAATAATGGAGCCTAATGAAAGTTTCAAAGGTTACAACTGATCAGGTTGTAGAACAGGAAGAAGTTCACATGCTTTTTAGTGTTTTTCCTGCCCAGAGGACAGTGATGGTTATTTTTCAGACTTGTGTAGAAGGGTAACAGTTTTTAGGGCTGCACAGAGTCTGTGGATGTGCTGGTGTAACATGAGAGGAAAAACTATATTCATTTTAATCAAGAAACAGTATCTGCTCCTTCTAAACAAGCACAGGTACAATCAATATGTGTTATGGTAGCAGGAGAGGTTGTGGTGTTGTGTTGGCACTGGCACATGTACAGAGAGAGAAAGCAGATGAGTGCATACTGTACACAGCTCTTAACTGTGTTATGGCTCCATGTCATCTGAGGATTTCCCCCTGACAGTCATAACACTGAGCAAACCTGCAGGAAGCACCGTGTCTTTGTTATTCAACATAATATAAACCCTGAGCACATATACGTGATGTTGTCTAAACACACAAGCTCCACTTCAGTTATGAATCTGCTCATCTGAGACTGCGTCCAGTTGCCTTTTTGCAACCAGCGCTGATCTTTACACTTTTGTTCCATAGACCTTAGTTTAAAAGTCATGTTGCTATTTTGGCCTAATGTCTGACCTCTGGCCTTCGAGACCACCACATGTCCCACCAGCTCACCAGACCTCTGCTGCTACTGGCTGCTCCTGCATGTCCATCAGTGCATGAGTGTCGCTCACAGGTGGAAAATAAAGGAGGCCTGTCCGCTGTTCACTGCCACTATCCAGGCTGCTATAAAAGGAGGCTGGTATGCTGGTTTGGCCTCACTGTTGTCGGCCAGTGTGTGTGCATAACTTAGAAGGGCTGAGGGCACTGTGTCTGGGTTAACTCTAAACTGTAAGCATGACTGCTGTGCATCGTTTGGTCATCGTGCGCCACGGCGAGAGCGCCTGGAACCAGGAGAACCGCTTCTGCGGCTGGTTTGATGCCGACCTCAGCGAGAAGGGTATGGAGGAGGCCAAGCGCGGTGCCCTGGCCATCAAGGATGCAGGCTTCAAGTTTGATGTGTGCTACACCTCTGTGCTGAAGCGTGCCGTCAAGACCCTGTGGACAATCATGGAGGGCACGGACCAGATGTGGCTGCCTGTGATTCGCACCTGGCGTCTGAACGAACGCCACTACGGAGGCCTCACCGGTCTCAACAAGGCCGAGACAGCTGAAAAGCACGGTGAGGAGCAGGTGAAGATCTGGCGCCGTTCCTTTGACATCCCACCTCCACCCATGGACAAAGACCACTCTTACCACAAAATCATCAGTGAGGTAAGACAACTGTAACTTATGGACATTAATATATTAATATGACTATTGTCTTCAATTAATCATTCCCTAAAGATACCGCACATACCATAAAACAACTATTGGCATAAATTTACTTTAAATAATACAAATTTCAAAACTAATTTACTCTGCTGACAGTTATGTAACAACTGCCATTCTGTTCCCGTCCCCACCTCCAGTCCCGGCGCTACAAGGGCTTGAAGCCCGGCGAGCTGCCCTTGTGCGAGTCCCTGAAGGACACCATCGCCCGTGCTCTGCCTTTCTGGAACGACGTCATCGCTCCCGAAATCAAAGCTGGGAAGAACGTTATCATCGCTGCCCATGGCAACAGTCTCCGTGGCATCGTCAAGCACTTAGAGGGTGAGCATTGCAGAGTCAGTCACTGCAGCAGGTGGACATAAAACAATAAAGGACAATGAAGAGGAAAGTGGTGCAGTGAAAGGTAGATGTGGAACTTAAAGTTATAAAACCTTTTCAAGATTTCAGTTTTACGATAGATTTCACAGCATTTGCATACAAGGCCAAGGCAGAGAGACACACTCAGAGACAGTTGTGGATTACAGTGAGTATAAATAGCCTGCAGGGACTCTCGCACTCCAGCTCAGGGACAGGGGAGCGGGTCATGAGCCTGGTTCCCGTTACAGTCACGACCTTTATGTAGAAAGGTTAAACTTTTTACAGGAGTGGCCATACGATAAGGAGTTTTACAAACCCAAGAGTGTCATGTGCAAAATGGAATGAGACACAGAAGTAGATCGAGTTTCCTATTCATTATAAATTGCAGTGATAAAAATAACTTATAATACAATTGGATAGAAAACCTGCCCTGCTGACTGGTTTTATCATGTGAGACTGTTGTCCTTCCCGTAAACCTATGAGCTCCAGACACTTTTATATCCTATCAGTTACATTGCCGAGGTTCAATATGCTGATCTGCATGTCTGCCGGTGTTTCTAGGTATGTCCGACGCAGCCATCATGGAGCTCAACCTGCCCACGGGAATCCCAATCGTGTACGAGCTGGATGCAAACCTGAAGCCCGTGAAGCCCATGGCTTTCCTCGGCGATAAGGAAACCGTAAGGAAGGCCATGGAGGCCGTGGCCGCTCAGGGTAAAGCCAAGAAGTAAACTTGCTCTGGTGAGGAGACAGAAAAAGAGACTCGTCCCTCCCTCCACCCTTCATCAGTCAACCTTTCCTTTTCCACTCATCCAACCTTGTAGTCCATTCCAACAGGGGGATTGTTTAATGGTTCTTTTGGAGACGGGCCATTTTCAGCACCTCAGCCTTGTTTGTTTCATCGACAGACAGAGTGATGACCTGTCAATCCACGCAGGCAGCCTGGCCTCACATTCAGCCCTTTTAAATTGTGACCTAGCCCTATTTTGTGGGCCCCACCACGCTGCCACAACCAATAAAGAAACCATATTTTTATGTATAGGCCTGTGTCTGTTTGATTTCTTTATGCTGATCGTGTCTTTCTTGAGATTACATTATCATCCACGTTTCTTACACCTATTCTTTCCCATTTGGAAATGAGTGGTTTCAGCAAAGTGCAAAGGTGCTGTGAAATCGAATCCGTGAGGTAGAGAGGGGATGAGGAGGAGGAGGAGGAGGAGGAGGAGGAGGAGAGAGAGAATGAGAGAGAGTCAATGGGTTCATCTTGGCAGTTTTCCCATGATGCAGGAGAAGGCTTGACTGAGTTTTTTCCCTACGCTCTGCTCCGGTCAGATCACAATGACAAACACAAACAGAGAGTCATTTTAAGAAGCTATCAGACGTAAATGAGCGAAACCAACGGAGACGGATCATGAATTAGAGGAAAAACCTAAATAGGTGTCTGGAGGGTTAGAATGAATTCATACATTATTGTATATATCAATACAAGTGATCATTTCTGGCACAGAGAAAACATCACTGCGAATCAATACATGATGAAACACTTGCAGCCTGTTGTTTTCTAGACCGGCTATGGTTAGGAGAGGTCATTCAGGGTCACAGGATGGGCTGATGAATATGAAATGATGAATTGAATCTTTCCAGTCCCCAGATCGCCACCCAGTCTAACACCAAAGGGAACCTTAGAATCCTTCACTAGATATTAAACACTTTATTAAAGATGTTTTAGGAGCCACCAGAACAGATAAATGACAGATTTTTGGTTTAGCAGGCTAAGTGTTTAGTTAATAGCACTAACAGTTAATAGTCTGTTGCCCTGAGTAAATATCAGCCTGCTTATATTTAGTTTTTGGTGCTAATAGTTAATAGAACTTAATATTTACCAGTTTAGTGCTATTAGTTAATGTTAGCATGCTAACATTTAGTGTTAGTTAATAGCACTAATTAGTTAATAGTATAGTGCTGAGTTCATGTTAACATGCTAATGTTGACAAATGACACAACTTAGGGGGAAGTAAATGTAAATTCTATAAAGGTTTGGACAAATTTAAATTTGAACTGGATGATGATTGTTTATGAAAAGTTATAGAAAGTATGACCAGTGACAAAGATAAACTGATCACATGCAGCAGATTTAATTCAGGATTAGTATTAGTTTATGAACACACAGAGAATTACCAACATTACATTACATTTCTAAAACATCAAATCAAACAATAAGCAGAGGTTCATGACCATGGTTGAGTCACATTTGATGTTGTCATGCCACCTTCTGGCCACTAAGAGCAACACAAGCTGATTGTGAGCGAGTTAGTGTCCTTTTAGACAAATGCAGCTTTCTCTCTTTTGCATTTGTCCACAGGCAGGGTCACACGCTGAGGTTGGTCCGCAGCCTTGGCACTTTCAATTTACAGGTGATTATAAAAGAATTTAAAAATTCAAAGTGACTGTTCATTAAAAAAAGATCAGGCCGAGGCTTTGATGTGGATCAGCATGTTTGATGCAGTCGATGTTCAAACAGGTTCAGGAGCTCAGTCATGGTCCAGGTCTGAGGTGTTATGATCAGCTGCAGTTTTCGCAGTGGTTTGCCTCTTGAAGGGTTTGAAGAAGTCTGGTAGAGATGCTATCTTATAAGGGTTCTTCTTGTATGTAACGGCTTTATTGGTTTCCTGTTTGGATGCATCTACGTACTCTGCAGCACTCGTCACATTTTTTTCTATGTTGTTGATCAAATCCCCCTGATGGAAGAAAAGCAGAATTGCCGCAAGTCCGATTTTGCTCCCATGACTGTTTATCAGTGCATCAAAATGAAGCGGCCGTCTTACCTGAATTTCCAGCAGTATGGCCGTGTCAGTAAATATCTCATGCAGCTCTTTGATGCTGGACTCAAGACAGACGATATCCTGATGACGAGATTCAATCTCGCTCAGAGCCTCGCTGGAAATCGGCTTGTTGGAGTTGATCTGTGAAAGGAAACAAAACATGCACCAATTATTTTTATATTCTCCATCAAGCAACTGATAACCAACAACAAAAACTAAGCTCAAGTATCTATTGCTAACTATTGAATAGCCATTTATTGTGTAGGGAACTTAATGAAATTCCACCAACATCAGATATGAAGATGGTGAGACTGTCACGACGCAGCATCACTTCCAGCTCCTCATCTGTCGTCACTCGATCCACTGACAGACAAAGGTTGAGGACAATGTTCAGGTTAAATTAACATTAAACATAAATACATCACTTAAAAGAGGAGTGTGCAGGCATCAGGTGACCGACATCATCAATAACAATAGGCCACAGTTTCATACATGATCATGAACGTGCAGTGGAGTCGCCCCCTGCTGGTCATTTGTGCAGCAGTCTGCATCCATTCTTATATACACAGTTGATGACTCCTACAAAGACCTTCACATCCACACCACCACAAGTTCTGTTGCTACTTAAGATCCTGGTGTGAGACATGAAATGCGTTTACACAACACTCAGAAGAACAAGTGATTATGTTTTGGTTCCATTGTTTTGTTTTTGGAAACTCACCGATCTCCAGTTGTCTCTGAATTTGTGCTTTGCATTTGTCTCTGAAGGACATCTGTGAGTTATGGAAGCCACGCATGACCTCTGCAAACCTCCGGGTCAGATGTGAGTGCTGGTGGGGGGGGGTCAAAAGAATCATCCAGCAGATTATTGAGACAGAAACGACAGGGAGTCAGTTTAATTATCATGTGCACAGACCATTGTCAGTAGAGGGATGCGTTCACATATAATAAAGAGTTGATCATCCTTCTGCATCGGACGTCTTTAACAAAATAAAGTCGTCACAAACCTGGTTCTTCTCTATTCGCTCGATGACAGAGGGCCTTCTAACGTTCTCCTCCATGGGCAGGGTTTTCTGCATAGCTAAAACAAACAAGGGACAGAAGGAAAGAAAAAGAAAAGTCTGCTGGTAAAAGTTGTGATTCTTTTCTACTTTTCTACAAATATTTGTGACGCAGTAGCACGGGCTGCAGCTCCCTTTCTCCTCTGTCTATTTGCAAGTTAAATCTTGTGTTACATACTAAACAGTCCCAGGAATTGAGGAAGTGGAACCTGCTGTCGTTCCTCCTCACTGTCATAAATGAGTGATTATATACAGCCGCATGATTAACACATCAACGAATGACAACCTGAGATACAGTACGAGAAAAATCTAAAGGAGCATTTGTTAAAAAAAAGGAACTCACATTTTAACTTGGCTCGGACTGCGTTGGCGTTCTTCTTGATCTCACTGATCAGCAGCTCCAGCTTGTGCTTGTTTGCTAAACACGACAAATTATATTCACTTCATAAAAAAATAGATTGAATAGGTCCTCTGAACAAAGCCATGAATTTAACAATAATTTAATAATGGCCGCTCTGTCGATATCACCCGTACTGATTTACCTCCAAAGATGGCAGACTTCATGTTCAGCTAATAAGCTTATATCAATATAATAAAAGTCACATTATTATTTCTTTTAAGCTTAAAAATGTATTAAAAGAATATTAGAAGATTAAAACCAACACTGTATTGTACCTCCTCACCATGCTAACACAATGCATAAGCACTATACTAATGTATATTGAACTTTTGTTGTATAGTTACTGATGAAAGTTATATTCTGGTCATTTTTTATATCGTCTGTAATCACCCCTGGTGGATAACGTTTGTTGGACATGGTTTCATTTACACATATTGTTTGTCATCTTAGTGTCTAGGAGCATGTTTGTAGACATCAGCTCCCACACAGAGAATATAGATACATGTTCTATATTATGTCTTGACGTCTTAATCGCCAACACACGAGGTTCTGTGTGAAGTCTACTTTTCTACACATGTTACCACAGGTCTGTTTGTTTCTGCTGCTCTGTTTGTCTTTTCAGAGACTGTTTGCCCTGAAGGAGTGGACTGATCTCTGATATCATCTGCACCAACAGTGACCGCATCACAGTTCCACTCTGTACAGTCTTTTTGAAAACTAGTAACGGCCGTGGGGGAGAAAAACTTGATCGGCTGCACTCACTCTGGTCTTGGTTTGTAGAGGAGAGGATGACACCGTGGTTCCTCTGCACCTCCTCTGCTTGACAGGAGATTTTGTCAATGAGGCTTCTCACCTCCCCCACCTACACACACACACACACACACACACACACACACACACATGCTTGTATACAAACAGTAGCTACACCCTTACAACTGTCACTGGAAATAACAAAGAGAAAAGACAACACGGGGAGTTTACCGTCTTGAAGAAATCCTCCATGTTGCCTCTGCTCTCTGTTGATTCTGTCATATCATCCCACTGCTGCTGATAATACAGATTATTATCATTACTACTATTCCGGCTGTTGCTGCACATTAACATCCACTAAAGCAAATTAAACAAATCAACACATAGATAAGTGGTGGGGAGCTGAAAGCTGGACGTTACAGCCATTTTCCTCTGCAGCCACCGAGCTTTAAAAACCTTTAGTTGTTGAACTTGTTTCCTTGTATTTCCGTGTGTTCAGCTACATTATTACTATAACTACATCATCAGTCATAACAGAAAGTCTAACGGACGTTACTTCCTGGTAGTTTCGCTGTGTAGACGGTGAGACTCCACCTGCACCTGCAGCCGGTGTCTTTGTCCTCTGCACACCTGTAGGAGACAGAGCGCGGGCACGCAGGCGCGTTACCGGAAGAGCCACAGAGCCCGTATCCATTACAACCACAACACCCGAGTGTGAGTTAAAGCTGCAGCTACACGCAACTGATAATAATATAATATTACATACTGTAATATAATACAATGCAATACAATACAATTCAATATAATGTAATGTAATGTAATGTAATGTAATATAATATAATATAATAGATTAATGAATGTATCATTTGGTCTGAAACACTTATTATTCTCGTTTGTTTTCTTAAACTGTGCTAGTTGTGTGTATGTTATGTTACAGCCTACCTGAGGGGGGCGCTGTGAATAACTTTCAAGATTATCTCTACTAGTCCAGATAATAATAAGAATAATAAGAATAAGAATAAGAATAAGAATAAGAATAAGAATAAGAATAAGAATAATAATAATGGTGATATTGTTCTTTAAATATGGGCTCATCAATACATTAATTCCATCAGTAACATCCTTGTTGGCCTGTTTCATGTCAGAAGGCCTGGTGTGGAAAAGCTCTGAGCTCAATCTCATTTGTTTTGCTCGATATTTGAATGTGATGCAGGATCAGGATGATGATGTGAACGGACTTGTTTCTGTATCTGATCCTCGTCTCTTCATATAAGTGGAAATTAGTTTGTGCTTGTTGAAATGTGAGAATCGCTGCGTCCGCCACTTCAGACAGAAATACCAGCAGAGAAATAAATCACAGATCCTTCAGAGACCTGCAGCGCGGCCTTTTCACATGACTGACACACACGGCGAAGACCTTCACTCTCACATCAGGAGTGTTGGTTTCATGAATAATGCAGCGAGCGCCTGTGGGTGCAAAATGTCTTCTCTGTTTCTCGGTGCACGGTGAAATCCACAGAAATGTTTTCCCGACGGGCATGAGTCAAGCAGGCTTCGGTTATTGTGTCATTTTTCAAGAGAGAGTTTGCGGATTGTGTAATTTTTTATTGGTTTGCTAAAGTCTGAAGGCAGATGGATCCTCACAGTTAACCAGGGTGTGGCAGGATGTTTGCTCACTCACCGGCAGGCAATAATCTCACCATCAGAAACCTGTTCAGTCACTTCTGCTTTTCTTTATGACGGGGAATTTCATAAAAATACTGAATGGGTCCAAACATGGACCGAATTTAAAGAAAGCAATGCCATTTAAATGAAACATGATATGTCTCAGAGCTTAGTACAGAAGATTCTTTATTACCTCCACCAAGGAGGTCAAGTTTGTTTAATTACTATTAATGCATTGCTACAGAAAACATGAAAGTATGAGCTTTAATTTAGGTTTTTACTTTTCTAAGAGGAGATCAGAACACAACCGATTCTTGTGTGGTATCTTGGCCCCTGTGCTTCTCTTCAGGCTCATTTTTCACTGATGTACATTGGATTACTTGTCTTATTTATTTCAGGAGACACTTGGAAAAATACTCCTTCTCTGAGGCTGTGCAACCTTTCCTCTGTATAGGATTAACA